TCATGTGCCATATTGTTACAGCATCCCCTTCATTTTTCACATTTTACCCTGAAGTAGAAATAGGATGCTGTGCTTATTTAAAAACAAAACCAAAAACCCCACAACTTGAGTTAGGGTCACGATTACAGTTTTGCTTATGCATGGACAAATCCTGCTGTGACTTCAGGAAATAATTACTAAGCAACAATAGTTTTATGGTTTTGAAGTGGAAGCAAAAGGGAAAGGATGAATCCTAGAGAAGCCCTGGAACCAGGGCAATGAAAAGGTGTAGGAACACTGAGCTGGGGAGGCTTTTTGGCTTGTTCTGAAGTGATTTCTGTGATTGACTTAAACCAAAATGTCAGAATCTGTTGAAAGGCATTGAGTTTTAGGAGGTTAATTACAATTTTATTTTGCAAAATGAGGCACAGACTCACTGTGTCAGGCTTTCCCTTATAGCTTGGTCGGATAAACATGCTTAGTAAGGAGTGTGGGGTTTTTATGCTGAGGGTGTTTTGTTTTGGATTGCTTTGGGGTTTTTTTTCATTTCTTATTCTGGGTCTTCTAGAATAATACATTTTGTAAGGTAATTTTCAGGTGTCCTGTATACAACTATTTATGATTTTGTAAATAGTCTCAGATTTGTAATTAATTTGGCTGTGTTAGCATAGCTCTGCATGGGAAGTCCTCCTGATACAAATAAAGCCTAAATTACTTGGACACTTGGGGCATCTTAGCCAGAAGAGGTGGGAATGAAAATTGTTGCAACTGTTTTTTTTTTTTGTTGTTGTTGTTGTTTTTTTTTTTTCCTCCATTGATGGATTAAATTTATTGGAATGATTAGAGAACATCACTCTAACCAATAAAATACCTGAAAAAACGAATAAAATGTTAGAGCATTCAACATTAAGAGTTGCTACTCAGTTAAACTGCAGTGCTAGTTAGTCTTTCAGCTGAATTTCATGACAGGTATTATTAGTAGACAATACTTGTTGCTTTTATTTCTGGGCATATCTGACTTTATCTTTTTGGTCACAAACATGCAGTGAGACTGAAATCCAGGGAGAGGCCTGTACCAAAATGCTGTGACAACATTATAAAATGGTGTAAGGGAACTGTTAGCCCCATTAGACTTTATTTGAGCTATAACAATACAGAAATAAAAAGTTTTGTCTTCCTTTGGGAAGGTTAGATTTTGCTTTTGTAGTAGCTTTGTAAGAGCCTGGAACAAACAAGATGGTTTTGAATTTACAGCTAGGGCATCTAATCATGTTCAAAACTGGTTTTTTTTCTTTAAACAGAAAAATGGCCTGAGCTATCTGCAGTCCCTCCAGAAAAGGGTGCTCAGAACAGAAAATTAATTTGTCCAGTAACTCCTGTTTTGCAGACTTTTTGCCAGTTATTTGCTAAATACTGAAACTGTGCACTGATGCTTGCTAATCCATTGGTATATTTGCTGGGGAGCAAAGGTGGCAGAAATGAGGATGTGTACTCAACATGGAGCGTCTCTTTCCAGCCTTTCTATGACAAACTTGCCTTGCATGTAATGGTAGGTGGCAATCCTCCAAAGGGCTTTGGAAGCCCACCTGTAGTCCAAAGAATGACATCAACAGCCTGTTCCAGTAGCGTTGAGTCGAATATGATCAAATAGTTCTTCCCAAGAGGGAGAATAGTTTTGGACTTAACTAATCAGCTCCAGTTTCTGCTTGGAGCCTGTATCAATTGAACTGTGATCAAGTGAGTCCCATTTCAGAGAGTAGTCTTCAAAATTGCCATGAACTGAAATTTCCTTCCTTTCTCAGAAACAAAGAATGAAATTTGACAGTATGTATTATAGAGTCTTCTTTAAAACACAGATTTGAAAAGAGGCTCTGATAGAAATTTATATATATATACCCCCATCACCTTCTGTTATTTTTGCCATAAGAGCTGAGTTCAGATGCCAGCTGATGGTGTTTTCTTTGTTCCTCAGTCACATAGATGAGATGTACATTTTAATAAACCACTATCCTTTATTGGTGTTGCAGACAGACTTTTTAAGGCTCTCGACCGCATTCTTCTTTAAGCAGTAAACATATGTTGCCATTTGCACTATCATATTTGTTAAATACATATTTTAAGCCTTGATTGTACGACTAGAAGCTTCCAGTAGCTTTTCAGAAGCTATTGGAAACTTCTAAAGTTTTCATCTATGATTGATTACAGCTCTTCACAGTAGAACTTTATACTGCTTATTCTGTAAGTTAACAATACATATGTAAGAGCAAGGAATGGTATCAGGAATGCAATTTTATCTGAAGTACAGCCAAAATGTGAAGAATACTCTGAAATAACTTTGTAATTTAAATCATTGTCCTTAGAGCTCTTCTGATTTTACTTAATTTGCTTTTGTGAAGTGCAGAAGAAGTTTGTTAAATCAAAACTGCATGTGTTTGTGTTTATTTTGTTTTCATGTAGTGTGGGTCAATTATATGTGGGAATCAGCCCAGGGTTTCTAATCCCTGACAAAACTCTGCTGCTTGAGCTGATAATCCATAACTCATTACTAAGACTCTGAATAACTGGTGTCAAGGATGGTGGCCAAGTTAAGGCCTCTTTATGTAGATCCACTGTAGATGAAGGCTGAGAGAAGTTACAGTTTGCACAAGTGTAAATTCTGTAATGCATGATGAAGAATGAAATGTCTGACACAATTTTAGTTAGGAGTTGAATTAAAGTACAGAAAAAACAATTCTATTTAAAGTGCTTCCATATGCCTTAGTGCACTTTTCCCCTGTATAGTAAATGTTCTGTTTCCTATGGCTTTAGTGTTGTGAAGGACTTCTTGGAGCATTTTTCAGGTAGATAAAGTAGTTAATTGGTCTAGTGGTGTAGAAATATAATTTTGGTGCTGTGGTAATTGGATGCAAGTGCATTCTGGGAAACTGAGAGGGTGTGTGAAAAGAACATGTAAAGGGTTATCTGAAGGAATTCTGATGGTAGAAGGGAAAACATTCCTTTCTGTGTAAACTACTCACCCAGTTCTCCAGTTCCTCTATTTTGGGGGAAATATGCAATGTTAATTTGTGGAGGAACATTATTAATCCTGTGCATTAGGTAGATAGCCGTGGTAATACATGATGTGTAAATGTATGAAATGAGTCTTACCCCTGTTACATTTTCAGTAGTTTTATTATTTGCTTTGTAAATAAAGATCTCTTGTAGATTTCAGTTTCTGGGGCTCACTGAGGCACCGCCTTCTGAATGTCTGAGATGTGGATTCTCTTTTATCACTGATACTGTCCTTCCTAGTTTCTTTCTTTTGAAAATAAAATATAGTTGAAGTATTGTCTTAGGGAAAAAGGTTTTAAAAACCCCACAGTACAAGCAGAGAGCCAAATAGGAAGTTGCCTACTTAGGAGCTTTATTTTTTTTGTTCTCTATTTGCAAATTTTTCTTTCTTTATCTAGCAGATTTAATTTATTTTTTGTTTCAGCATAAAAATAAACCACATGTGGTGACCTTAGCTAGGAGCCACTCCATTTCCTCGGCAGCTGCTGCTACACGCTGCTTGTCTGACAGACGAGGCTAGGTCATGGTTACCAGAGGACACCCTCGTGGTCATAACCAAGTTGTAAATGTCACTAAGATTGTTTCTGAATGCCTATCACATGTGTATCGCCAATTCTGAAGTAGATAAAGTCAGCCAAAGATTCATTTGGGAGTTAGGGCTCCCAGAAGATTACTTTTAAAGCCGAATAGCAGCAAGAGTTGTGACATGCATCCATAAAGCAGCGGTAGTGATTTGACAGTTATTTAGCCCTCAGTTACTAGCCCTTTGGTAGAACTGACAGCACGCCTGCAAAGATAGTGAGGCCTGTTTCAGCCCTGGTAATATTGTCTTGAATACGAGCCTGCGGTCTGAAAAAAAATGATAAATGTTCAGTGATTGATGATTTTATAGTCCCAGGGCACCTGGGACGGTTTCTGGTAGCTGTGAATGATTTTCTCCCCCTCCCTTAATTAGACGGGAACTTTAGGTGTGTCTCTACCAGATTTAGAGAAATTTTTAAGATAAGGTTTACAAAATGTTTTTCAAAACTTTGGCTACAAAAGAGGTGCAATTTTGAGTGCCAGGTCTGTCTTGTTTTGGTACAGAGGTGGAGATTCAGTGCGCATCTGATCAGTCTGAATGGCAAATACCACATTCATACCTTTATATGGAAAAGCTGGAAGTGTTTTGAAAAGTACAAAAGAGAATTTTAAGTAATTTAGTAATTGGGTTAATTAAATAATGTGTGCATCCTAGGGCTTCTGTGTTTTCTGTTTCTACATCTTTGGCATAAGATTTAATAAGCCAGTGTTTCCTGACTGCGTAAGGGTCACTCCAAGCCTGCTAAGTTGGCTAGAAAAGTGCAAACCAGTATTTCAGTTTGAGTGCTTCTTTGCAAATCCGGTGACAAAGATGGTTATTTAATCACTGTTCGGGAGTAAACCTTTTGTCAGTGAGCTATGCTGTTTAGTAATGTGATAGTGTCAAAATGCCTATTAATCTGTAACATTAATAGCAGGCTGCAAAAGGAAATGGAATTTCTTCTCATTTTCACTAACGTTTTTCCTGATATCAGTGACTCTTCCTGACCTTTTTACTGTGTTGTTTTATTAATGCAAACAGAAACCTTAGGAAAAAAAAATCAGTCACAAGTTCTTCAGACTAATTTTACTCTCTGTGGTTAGTGACTTAACACTAAGAGGATTCAAATATCAAAATATCTTAGTTTTATTCAGTTTTTTTAGAAATACTGTCCGTGAGTACCCAGCTTATTAAGAAAGAAGTTATGTGGTTTTGCTTTGATAGGGAGAAAGAGAGGGAGAAAGTAAAATGTGGGCAGGGAGTAATTTCTGTGAGATAGACCCGAAAGCCAACTTTTGTGATTAATGACCAATTGTGACTCTGCACATTTAATTAGGAAAGTGTCATTACACTCAATTAGCAGGGCTGCCAAATAATCTGTTTAATACTCTGGTCTTTTTTTCTCTAGGGTTTTGCAGACAGTCCTCATTACAGTGATCACTTGAATGACAGTCGATTAGGGCCCCATGAAGGATTGTCCCCGACACCTTTCATGAACTCAAATCTGATGGGTAAGTAGGTAATTCTTTACGAGTATCCCCTTAAAGCCTCTTTGGTCAGAAAGAGACATTTTTCATTCCCTTGTCTAGGCCTGACATGTCAAGCATCTGGAAGTTACTCAGTTCCTCATAGCAACACTGACTTTCCTACTGAAATCTTTTTATGTTGGGCAAATTCCGCATAAGGGGCGTTGTCCAGGACTTTTTAGGAGAAGGAACCACCTAGATTTTCTCAAGTTGATCTAGAAAGCTGATCTATTTTTATATGATTTTTACATTTCTCTTGTAAATTCTAAATTATTTTAAAGCTGAATTTTCCTTAACTTTTGCTGAGAAGACATCTATGGCAATTTTTAATTTGTACATTTAAAAAAAAATGTTTTTTTCCTAATACTATCAGTTCCTGAACTACCTAGAAATTTACTTTAGGCTTTTCTTCAGTTAATAATTTGAAGGCTTTTTAATTTTCTAATTTATTTGATATTTGGTGTGTTAGAAACGTGGTCACTTTTAAGAAATAGATGCAAACTCCTATTTTGCTGTGCGAATGTTGTTACTGCTTCCAGGCCTGTGAATGTCCAACATTTTCTGCTTTAGAAACTGGAAAAACAAGCAAGCAAAATGTGTATTATATTGGGAGCTTAGGTATTGAAAGCTTTTTCTTCATTGCCTGCGCTTTTGTGTTACCTGAAACACATTAATGTATTGATGGCATCGTTTGAAACTCTTCTTCTCCCTGTTCCAGTTCAGAGCATCAAAATATTTATTGGTTGGCAATACATGGTCTTGGGACAAATATTTTTTTCCTGAATCTTAAACTTAGAGATGACTATGAGTGTTTGTTACGAATTTGTACATTTGACATTGTTTCACTTATATATTCTGCGTCTTGTAGACATGACCTATTTTGTGATCTCAGTATTGTCCTTTTAAGACATAGCCATGGTAATCTAAGTGGATTACCTAAATCCAAATCCTGGTGGTCTGCAATTTCTTTTGGAAATCTTTCTACTTTGCTCAGTCTTTGTTTACTGCTTTAATTTTCTCTGAAATAGAGGCAGACAAAGCACAGCTATTGCTGAAAACAAAATTTCATTTAAACCTTCATATATGAACCTGAAAATACGTAATTTTAAAATGTCTATCTTTGTTTAGAGAGAGTGCACGTCAGTTGGTCAGTGACACCTATCTGAAGTCAGTAAAGCTGAAATGTAGTTTCCCTGAGTTAGTTTGATAAAGCAGAGCAGAGCTTCCCTCAGTCCTGTTTCAAATATGTTGTCTTTTTTTAAATATAGGAGGCTAAAAAGACAAGTTACTTCAATTGCTTCTCCAGTATTTTGGTCAGTAGCACGTGTAGAGTGGCTCTAGGCTTTGTAGCTGATACTGATTTTATTTTACAAAAATATAGAGCAAAGTTTGATTTATTTTTTTTTTTAATTTGTATTACCAAAGGCAAACTACTTGCTCATGGTTTTATTTTGAGCCATCCAATTTTTAAAAAATATGCTTTTAAATATATCAAGAAAATCATTAGTGCAACTATATCTTCTTAGTTTTTCAGTTTTATTGAAGAGATAACTAGGCGATTCCATTAGACATAATACAATTTACATCATTAATACAGATTTGAGAAACAGCCTCCATTGAGGTTGTTTTGAAGAGAGAATTAATAAATTGCAAGATGCGTGTCAGACACTTACCCAAAGCATCTGTCAACTGAAATAGTTTTGTAATGCTTTATGGCTAACAGTTCTTAAGGATTTTATTTTGTTGTAGCAAGAGTACTCCTGTATGCAGTGAAGAACTATGGAAATTTTTCAGTATATATCTCTAAGAAATGTACACCTCAAAACTCTAAAAGTATGCTTTTAGAAGTATTCCACCTGTGGTTTTTGGCTTGTCATAACAAAAGAGTATATTAATTTTACTGAAGTTACAGTATGGAATGCAGCTTTATATATCGTACTCTCACATAATGAATTTGTGTAGTGTATCTTCAGTTGATGCTGAAAGTTTGGAGGGAGGAATGATAAAAGCTACATAACAACATTGAATAGTGGTTTTTTTATGTAGTACCACTATCTGTGTTTAGGTTTTTTTTGTCTGTTATTAAAAAGAAAAATGATATTTCTTAAATTTTTTAGACAAAAAAATTTTACACAGTTTGTTAACATCAGATTGTGGACAGGTTCCCATAAACAGAATGAAAACATTAATTTTATTGGTTACTATAGATTATATTTAATGCATTGATTGATTATTCCGTGGTCTTCAGAGGTTAAAAGGAGATGGAGGCTAAGACCATGGACACGATGAGAGGACAGGAAATATCTCACTAGGATAATAGGAGTGATTGAGCATCTGGGGTTCCATGCTGAAGATCTAAGCAACATATCCTTTCCCAACATTTTATCATGACTGAAATACATATCTGAAATAGTTAAAAACTATTAAAAAAAAAAAAAAAGAGGAACAACATATTTCACCATTGCTGTCAACACTTAAGAGCACCATTAAAAGAGAGAATTGTGTGTCAAGGAGATGTTGTTATTTTGTGTATTATGTTCAGTCATAAGCATATTTGCCTGAAGAGATAGTGGATTATAAAGTGCCACTGTCTTTCATGATGGAGCTCTCAAACATTTTAATGATCTTGTACATTGCAAAAGAGAGAAATTTTGTCTAACAAGAGTTGATAATGATTCAATAATGAACAATTTGCCACAGAAAGATGCATTTCCATATTCATTTAGATATTTTTTGAAGTGTTTTGCAGAGGAAGTAAAGCTATTATGTTGGATTGGTTAGTGTTCTTCACTAATGAATTCCAGAATTATCCTGTTGATTTGTTAGTACAAAAAAAAAAGAAGGGCCGTTGCTTGTATTTTAAGTAAAACCACTGAATTCTCTTGGCACCAGCATAGTCTGTTGGTATCCATAGAGATATGTAGAAAATCAGGCTAAGATATATTGATGGTATTGTAGCTTCATTTAGACTTGATAATCTTTGCTTATTCAACACTTTCTGGTTTAATTACATTCTAGAAAACTGTTCACAAGGAGTCTTTTCTCTGTAATTATGCTGCCTTTTAGTACTCTGCAACTTGCAAGTAGAGGTCAGTTTTTGCTAGGACCCTTAAGCATGTGGTATGGTATCTTCTGTTGTACTGTTCCCTGGACTTTATTCTACTGAGCTTTTCTACTTCTGCTTACCAGAAAGGAAGCAAGCAGATCATTCTTGAAAATAGCTTAAAGGGGTTTTTGTTGGTTCATTTTAAAAATTTCAAGTGGGTGACTTCTTTTTTTTTTTTTTTTTTTTTTTTTTTTCTTTTCTGTTTGGATAAAGGGAAAACTTTTGTGCTCCATGTTTGTCATCTGTGTACTGCACGGTTCTACAAGCTTGTACATGATAAAAAAAAATATTTAAAAAGTTTAGTCAATAGTGAGCGAAAAGGTGGTGATAGAATATAAACTTGCCATGTTAAATCCTGTCCCTTGAAGTAGAGAGAGAGATCATTCTTCCAAGTTTGTTTGGGTTTTTTTTTGTTTTGTTTGTTTTTCTTTTGTGTGTGGTTTTTTTTTTTCTCCCCCCAAGTATACATCCTTGTTTTCTCATTATTTCTTTAGCTAGTTGCTTTACAGTTTGATTGGGTTAAATTCTAGAGCTCTGGGTGTTCTGGAGCTAGCCACAGGGTTTGAAGACCTGTCAGCTGAGATAGCTGGAAACTGTCACAGGTGGAAACTCTGAATGTGTTTGCAGCTTCCTGGCTTCACCTGCTCACTGACTGCTGCAGGGTTGTAGTTACTAGTTTATTTCGTATCATGTGTTGATGTTGTAACACTCACCTCTGTTATTATCCTAGTGAGGTGGTGACTGTGCTCTTCTTCCTAACAAACTAACTTCTACTTCATACTAGGTATGGCCATGATATTTTCTTGTGGCCAGAACTAGGAGTATGGAGGACCTGACAGTGCAAGGAAGTCAAGATACATCAGTCAGTATTTACAAGGGAGAGAGTAGAAGCTTGTTAGAGTAATTAGATTGTTAATGATTCAGATTTTTAGTCAAAATATAGTTTCTTATACTGTGAACATAAAGGGTAAGCCTGATCTTTGTCCTGATTGAAATAAATAGATGAAAGCACCAAACATAATACTCTCTAATGGCAGCAGAGTAATACACTTTGGTTTTTGCAGTGTGGCTTCCTTTAATATTAGTTGTACTTGTTGCGCTTGAATCACTTGGGTGGTTTGTCATCAGGCTTCACAAAACAGGATTTGCAAGTAAATGACATATATTTTCATTATTTATTTTACCCTCTGTCAGTGTTTAACTGTCTTGTACCAGTGTAGCTTGTGGTTAATAGGCATGTACTGGGTAGAAACTGCTGTGGGGAGCAAAGAGTGGCAGGAGTGGAGAGATGCCTGATGGGTTGAAGCCAAATTCTATGAATTTTCAAAGGTAGTCTTTCAGGTTACTGCGTAATTAAAGACTCATTTTGTGGATTAATCATAAATGAGCGATCAATATCTGGATTGGGATGCCTTCTGATTTTAGAGTTCCTGTTCACTTAATTGACTTGATTGCCTGATTGTATAGGTTTTGAACAGTGGCTGTGCTTCTACCCGTGCATCTTTCAAACTAGTGAAGTTACTATGTCTAATTTTTATTGTAAAATCTGTTGTTTGACTTGTAAGTTAAACACTCCAACTGTCTTGGATAGAGTGGTAAATATTTTTAAAGATGAACATTATGGGCATTTTTTGAAGCAATGGGGACTTCATGGTAAATAGCTGAAGCTTCTGTAAGCTTTCCAGTATTGATATTGTTCTTGAACGGGTGATGTAGGCCTTTTAAACCTTAATTTGGGAAAGGTTATTCTCAGTAAAAGGAGAGGCTTTTGAACTTCAAAATACAATTAAAAGAAGGCATACACTGGAATTGTTTCTCAGTTAAGAGTCTAACTAATCTTCAGGAAAACTGCTAGTTTTCTTCCTCAGTAGCCCTTCAG